TTCACCTTCGACGCCGAGACGGAGATGGTTTGCACGAACTTGTTCGTCAACTCGTTCTTTTTTTTCAAATTCATCGTTAAGGAATTGCCAGATATCATCGCCAGAGTTGACGAGTACGAAACGGTCTTGTGGGTAGACCAGCTCACGGCCACTGCGTCCGTCGGGTCCTACGCGGGACAGTGCTTGATGAGGAACGACGGCTTCACCTTTCATTACGTCCATGGCGTTTGCGTGAAGACGTTCAAGATTATGGAGACGTGCGACAAGCCGTTGAATGTAAAGTATCATTTGGCCAAGGAGAGTTGTTTCTGCCAGGGGTCGATTGTCATCATCCTCTTCATGGGGAAGAACACCCAGTAGACCTCCTTTGGCGCTATATTCATGGTCAATTAATTCGAGTACTTCATTTGCGTGTTTGAGAAGCGCTTCATGAGTAGCATATGGAAGCGATGGACCGTCAACCGGAGCTGGATCCACTTCATGTAATGGACAGACGTCAATCTCGACAAAATGATCTGGTTGTCCTGGATTTACCATGGTTCCCGGCTCGACATACTGAGGTTCCAATGTGTTGAGCAAAGTGGGGAGTGGTAGATTGTGATGGACTGTATTATTCTCATATACATTATTCAAATCATTGAGAAAATCGAAAGTTTCGTTTTCGTTGAAACTCGGGGCTCCATCAAACTTAGTAACCCCTTTTTGATTCTTACTATCGATAGATCCTGCGTGCGTGGAAAGAGTAATTTGTTTGAGGAGAATAACCAATGCTTGAGCATGTTGTTTCAATTCCAGAATTGTAGGCGGGTGACCTTTGGTAGACAAATAATTGCAGTTGACATGTTTAAAAAGTGGTATTAAGTCTGGTTGATTGAGGGTAAAGATGGAACGATATGCTTCTGAGAATTTTGTCCGATGAACTGCTCCTCGAGCTAGACCACTTGATCCTCTGGGAGCAGGCCCTATCGTTCCAGGAGCTCTATCTCCGTCTGCTGCTCCTCCAGCTCGTCGTTGTAAAGCGGCAGCGCCTGCAGCAGCCGCTGGTGCATCCCTCATTACTACATCAGCCATGACTTTTTGTAATGTTTCTTTTTCTTGATAATTGGCCTGGGAAGGTTGTAATTGTTGACTTAGCTGTCTCTAAATGTAGCTTGAAGTTTATCGCCGCAGATAAACAAATTATCAAATGGAAGTAACATGGTGAAAGAAGAGGTCAAGTACTAGCAATGACGCTTTAGGAAATGTGTATACCGCATGTTGTGAAGCTTGAAGTGAGATAATGAAATATAAGGAATGTATTTCCTTGAATGTCAAATCCATCGAAGCATTTCTTTGATGGTATGAACAATGGAGGTTATGCTTTCAACGTAAGAAGGTTTGTTTGTTGGAGGGGTTTGAGAGGAATCGTGTTTTCTTGGCATGAAATTCAGTTTGATTGGAAAAAGATATTGATATTATGTATCCATCCATCGTGAAGAATTGATTTACACTGGCACATCTTTCATTATCGTCCAAGTCTTCCTTCGACATCGTTATCAATCATAATCGTGGTGAAGGGCCCAGATAATTTAGCCATGGCAATGACCCAAGAGATACTAAGGTTACCATGGCGATAGTAAAGAATTGACCACTTGAGCATTCTTTATTTTCACATACATTTGTATCGTCAATACTTCAGTCATTATCATGGGGAAACTCCCACGATATCCAAACATAATAAGCTGTACTCTCTACCCATAAATCAGCAAATATCAGCGGGGTGAAGTAATATACTGGGAGATGATTTCAGCTTGACAGGCTTGGAGATAGGAATGGGTCATGATAACCATGTCAAGCTGTGGGGGTATTAAGTGATCATTCTGATAATTCTGCAGGTACAACTTGGATGAGAGCAGAGAGTAAGTCGACCACCCTACTTTCGGGCCACCCCTGTTTTGGGCCATCCTTTTATATCAAAAATCGCTTTTTTAATCTATTAATATTTTTATTAATATATAATTTAATATAATAAAAATTTGAATGTATATAATTTAAACTATTTTAAGCTTATTTTGAAAATTTGAAAATTTTAGGAATTTCCTGTATTAAGATTTAAAGCTTTAAAATATCGATTTTTAAATTTATATAGGAATTATATACAAATTTGAAACTTTTATAAAAATTTTAATAATTTTTTAATAATTATTATTAAAAGAAAACTATATATCTTTTTGAAAGTTTTGAATTTAAATCTATATAGAAATTAAAAAAAAATTAAAAAAAATTAATAGATATAGAGATATAGTATATAATGAGTTTAAAATAGTATAAATAATTCCTATAATTTTGAGAGTATTCTTTTAAATATTTATTTATAGGAAATTTTCTTTTTTTTTTAAATTCTTTAAAATAAATATATTATAAATTTATAATAAAATTTTATAATTTATTTTTATTAATTTTTATTAAAAAATTATTAAAGATTTTATAAAAGTTTCAAATTTGTATATAATTCTTATATAAATTTAAAAATCAATATTTTAAAGTTTTAGATTTTAATATAGAAAATTCCTAAAAATCTGAAATTTTCAAGATAAGTTAAAAATAATCTAAATTGTATATATATAAATTTTCAGTGAATTCTATTTATAAATAAGAAAATTAAAAATTCCATTTTGGTGTAAAAAGTGGCCCAAAAGGGGAGTGGCCGAAAATAGGGTACCCGACTTAACCATTGAGATTGAACATGCTTTGATGGAAAGGGCAATAATGAATGACATTTACTCTCTGTACTATAGAGATATATTGACATGAATATGAATTTCAATATCGACATCGACATCGACATCAACATCAATATTAGTATCAAGAACAACCAACACCAAGCTCTATCATGGTAAGTAATCAACCAACCACCCCACCTGTACATTCACCACTTCATCCCTCGGTCCCGAACTCTCCAGCTAAACCATCAAATCAAGTCCCGGCGGCTAAACACCAGTCAAGATTTCCAGGGACCTCTCTGGTACACCCATCATACCTCTTCCAGGATATTGAAATCGAGTGGAAATTGAAGGGTCCAACGGGGTTTTCATCACAGGTATTGCGCAGACGAATAGGTAACTAGGGAGTTGACTAACTCATCTGATAGTCTAGGTATGATCATTTAAGCTTTTGGATATCCGAGGGTAAGTAGTAAGTACGTACTACGGAGTGTACTAGATAGAGGTGGGAAAAGTTAAAATCTACAGAGACAACTTCCAACGTGTGGCTGTGGATCATTTAACTCCTTTTCGTGAAGAGTTTGACGGGAGAGGGAGAGGGGAATTGATAAGATGGATTGTGTTTCTACTAGATTATCTCTTGATTATACTTTCGGAATTCGCAGTATACTACGAGTGATGTGATATAATTATACGATAACCTTACCGACCTATGATGGGTATTCTTTAAATCAGCGACGCTTCACCATGCAAATGATCAAACATTGATAGATTGCCATTATGACTATACATACATATCTCGGCCTCGTATAATTCAACACGTTGTTACCCGTTACAAGTCATAACACATCTCAACCACGGCTGGTGGCTGAAAAGGATTATCTAGGTAGGTCTGATGTGGAAACCCAAACTGTAGTACTCGTACATACCAAGGAGATATGTACGGTGTACAGTGCAATGCAGCTATCCCATCATTCATTCAGCTATACAAGGATTATCCACTCCGGTAACTAAGTTAGCTACGACATCCAGTGTCTACGATCCCATGTTGAAAGTGGGGTTTGGGGATTTAACGTTTGATTTGGGGGAGTTTTTTCTTTCTTTTCTGTTTCTGTTTTTGTTTCTGTTTCTGTTTCTGTTTCTGTTTCGATTGAGAATGTTGATCTTTTGATTGGTTGATGGTATATGGTATTGGAGAATAAAGGCACGGGTAGTGAGAGAGGGAGAAGAGAAAAAGAAGGGTTGGAAAGTGAGGGTAGACATGAAGAAGGAGAAAAATGAATAAAATACTATGAGATACCTCGTTCAGCTGATATGGATTGAATGATAGCTTCAATAGACGCGGACGCAGGGTTAATTTGGAGCACTGGAGAAATGCAACTAGAAGATGAATGGTCGAGAGCAGCTTCAAGATATTGGTGTTCAACATTTGCTCTCATCTTACTGGACCACGAGAGGTAAGTAATGTAATATAGAAATAACTGTCATTTTCATAGAACGCCACACTTCTCGCAGTACCTAGTTGACAACCTTGGTTCTTTGTCATGAAGCATATGGGAATTTCTCCTGAGATACTCTGATGTTACTATGATGGTCATCGATATAGAACAACTCATCTCAGGAGTACAACGGGGTATTCTTTCATCATTGATTGTTGACTGTCTATCATTCTTGTATTCTTCTTCCATTCTTTATTCTTCATTCCTCATTCTCTTTACTATAAAATCACAGCCACTGAATTAATCGCATATACAACAATCCAACATATATCGTCATAGTGAAGATCCTTCCTTGCTTCTGGATTATTTCTTCTGTTCTATCCTATCCTATCCTATCCTCTCCTCTCCTCTCCTATCCTCTCCTCTCCTCTCCTATCCTCTCCTCTCCTCTCCTATCCTCTCCTCTCCTATCCTATCCTCTCCCACTCTATCCTATACCAGTAACATTTCATCCCAATTCAAAAAATTCTTGATTTTCACCCAATAATCAATTCAAGAAATTAAGAAATTAAAACAAGGACTGGTGGAACTCAGACAAGGGATCTTGGTCCAAGCTTGCGCAACAAAATTTATCCTAGTCGTCCATCACATTTGTCTCAGTCTTGGCTCTTTTTATTTCCTTCTTTCTCCCAGTCGCAAACCTGGATTTCTTTCTGTTCTCTTTTCCTTTGCGAACTTCAACTTTCCTCACCCTTATTTTTGCTCATATGAGCAGGAATAACATCTCACAATTGTAATCCGCAAGATCAAAATCCATTGTGTCTTTCCAACGATATCGTGAAGAGATCACTTGATAATCATGTCCGATAGTGGTGGATCCAGTTTATCTGGTTTGGTAGCAACCTTGGTACCGACCTTGGTTGTGGCTGTCGTTTACTTTGTAATCTTTTTGACTTTGCGAAGATCGAATGTACGATGGTATGCTCCGAGAACTTATCTGGGTGCATTGCGCGAGGAGTAAGTATACATCACGAAGGATCGAATTCTGGTTGCACGTCAATACTAATATCAAAATAGAGAACGAACTAAACCACTTCCTTCAGGATGGTTCAATTGGATTGGTCCTTTTCGCAAAATTCCAGACATTTACGCCCTTCAACATCAAGGTCTCGATGCCTATTTGTTCCTTCGATTTTTGCGCATGACGGTGGTGATTATGTTTGTTGGTTGCTGTATCACATGGCCGGTTCTTTTCCCAATCAATGCGACGGGGAGAGGTGGATCACAACAACTAGATATACTCTCCATGAGTAACATTGATAGTTCTACATCATCTGGAAGGAATCGATACTATGCTACTTGTTTTATTGGGTGGATTTTCTTTGGATTGTAAGTTCATTTTCCGTATTCACTTTTACATCTACCCATGACCTTTCTCAAAGTGTCTCCTTATTCTTTTTGGAACGCTCGCTTGCCGATACCTCTTCTCCATTTGCTCATACCAATATTTAGTGTTCTTTTCCTCGTCACGAGAGAAACCATCTACTACGTCAACCTTCGTCAAGCTTTCTTACTCAACCCAACTTTCGCCAATCGCATCTCTTCCAGAACAGTTCTCTTTATCTCTGTTCCTGCACCATATCTCGAGGAAAGCAAACTTCGAAAAGTCTTTGGAAGTGCAGTACGTAACATTTGGATCGCTGCAGATACTGAAAAGGTGGAGGAACTTGTTGAGAAACGTGATGAGATTGCCAACAAACTCGAAAGTGCAGAGGTCAAACTTATCAAAACAGCAAATGGCGAAAGACTCAAGGCAATCAAGAATGGTGCCAGTCAAGAAGAACAACCGGTCATAGAGGATAATGGCGAATCGGGATCATTGGCCTCCAGATGGGTACCTCAAAAGAAGCGTCCCACACACAAACTTGGTAAATTCGGTTTATATGGAAAGAAGGTCGATACGATCAACTGGGCTCGAAGTGAATTGGAAACTCTCATCCCGGAGACCGAAGCCGCTCAAAGTACTTATTTCGCTGGAGAGACTAAGAAGGTTGGATCGGTGTTTATCGAATTTGCTCACCAATCGGACGCTCAAATCGCTTTTCAAACTCTCGCTCATCACCAAGCCCTTCAAATGTCTCCCAGATATATCGGTGTTCATCCTAGCGAAGTTATCTGGAAATCTTTGACCATCTCATGGTGGCAAAGAGTGGTTCGTAGATTTGCTGTTGTTGGATTCATCGCCGCTCTCATCGTTTTCTGGGCTATCCCGGTCGCGGCTGTCGGTCTTATTTCAAACGTCACATACTTGGAAAGTTTCAGCTGGCTTTCGTGGTTGAAAGAAATTCCAAGTTGGATCATGGGTGTAATCTCTGGTCTCTTGCCTTCTGTCGCTCTCTCAATTCTCATGTCACTTGTTCCCATTATCATGAGACGTAAGTTATCTCTATCATGATTGAACGACCCATGCTAATACTAAATAGTTTGCGCAAGACTCTCCGGTGAACCAACCACTGCACGTGTAGAACTCTTTACTCAAAATGCATACTTTGCCTTTCAAGTCATTCAAGTTTTCTTGGTTGTCACTATCGCATCATCGGCATCATCGGTTTTGTACCAGCTCATCAACAGTCCAACTGGAATTCTTCCCCTTTTGGCAAACAAATTGCCCAGTGCCTCTAACTTTTACATCTCCTACTTTATTGTTCAAGGTTTGACTGTGGCCGCTGGAGTCATTTCTCAAGTTGTTGGATTCTTCATTTTCAAGATTCTCTACAAATTCTTGGCCAGTACTCCAAGAAAGATGTATCAAAAATGGACTAGCTTGAGTGCCATCTCATGGGGTAGCACTCTTCCGGTTTTCACTAACATTGCCGTCATTGGAATTACTTACTCATGTATTGCGCCACTTGTTATGGGTTTTGCTACTATCGGAATGAGTTTGTTTTATCTAGCTTACAGATACAATATTCTCTTCGTCACCGACACTCAAATCGATACCAAGGGTCTTATTTATCCACGTGCTCTCCAACAACTTCTCACCGGTGTCTACCTTTCAGAGCTTTGCTTAATCGGTCTCTTCGCCATTGGTAAAGCATGGCCACAAATGGTCCTCATGATCATATTCCTCGTGTTCACCGCCTTATACCACATTTCTCTCAACGCAGCCATGGGCCCACTTCTGCACACCCTCCCCAAAACTCTCGAAGCCGAAGAAGAATCTATCCGCGGCGAGCTTGAAGCTGGTATGAGCGGTAGCCCCACCGTCTCCCACGAGAAACACAACGAGAAAAATGGATCTAGCGACCTTACTCACTCCAAACCCCAAGGCGGCATCTTTGCTAAATTCTTCAAACCGCATATTCATTGCGATTACGCTAGCATGCGCACGCTTGTTCCTCACGGAAATCTCGATCCCGAAAATCTCTACGATGATGCCACTGCTCGAAATGCATACTTTCCTCCCGCTGTTGTCTCCGAGGCACCACTTTTATGGATCCCTAGAGATGAAGCGGGTATCAGTACACAAGAGGTGGCTCATACGAGTAAGGTTATTCCAATCACCGATGAGGGGTGTACACTCGATGAGAAGAATAAGTTGGTCTGGGATGTTGAGGGAGCGAGACCACCACTTTGGCAACCAAAGGTTTTCTATTAAGTCATGCATGGATATATAGGAAGGCGAGGAAACGATGAGGTGGAGGAACGTCGATAATGGATCTTTCAGGATTTAAATTTCATGAAGTGAGATTGAATGCGATGAGTTAAAATGATTTTGATACCCCGGGAAATCGAACGGAATGGAACGACAAATAACAAATGAATGAGGACGGAGTTGGTAGTTTTTTACTATACTCTTTAATGTTTTCTACTTTAATTTGGTGGGGTTGGGGTGGATGTGTGGATGCGATGAAGGAAAAGAAGATTTATCTTCGGAAATTTGGAATCTGAAATTTGGAATCTGGAATCTTTGAAACTTGAGATTGCGAAAGGGAGTACGAGGTAGATGGTTAGATACCCTCAGGTCTGAAAATGAAAAAAAATTGTGTCCACATTCTTGGAGTTGTAGCGAGATGTAGTGTAATGTACTGTGATGACACGTGAAGTCTGGTGATGTGATGTGATGATCTCGGCTCGATCAATTATTCATGTGGTTTGTAGAATTTTTATGGTTCTACATATCTATATGTGATATACACAGAATACACATTCATCAACAATATCTCCCTCCCTCGCGTGTTGACTCATTTGCTGCTCATGGGGAATGGAGAAAAGAGAAGAGGAGAGGAGAGGAGGAGAGAAGACGAGTAAACATCGCATCATATATTATCTCAAGTAAAATACCATCCATGGTCGAGGCAATCTCATGAATGCGTGTTTTTTTGAGAGAGATACACTAGCATATCGTGTGTAAGTACTGTTTCACCATCGGAATTGGGTATAGTGAGTGTGTTTACTTGTGTTGAATATTTAATTATATTTTTTGTTGTTTGTTTTTTGAAGAGGAAAGTTTGAATTATGTGGTTGGTTGGTTTGTTTGTTTGTGTGAGTAGGTGGTGTTACGATCACATACTAATTAGTGTTTGCTACGATATACTAGCTATACTTCTCAATGAGCATTTCGTATTTCGTATGTAGGAAAGACAATGTTTAGATATTTGGAAGATATTTGGAAGATGCATAGATGGAAGATAGAGCTCTACTTCGATGCGCATTCTCTATCTTTCTATTTCTCTACATGGTATACTTCAAAGATCTGTTTAGATTGGAGTTTTGAGTCAGAGGGGTATCATTGTAGTGATGGTGGTTTCTGTTTGATATGAATATTTGACTGAAATGATGATATGACTTTGGTCAGAAATGACTTATAGTCTCTTCCAATACGGAATAGAATGGATAATAGATATCCCAATCATTTCATAATGATTACTCCCACCCAGGAATTTCCTCTATCCGTCCTTCCAACTTGCATTTATAAAATTAGCTCCTATCCCAGATCCTCACACCAAAAGAAACCCCCTAACCCAAAGGCTTAACCTTCTTCTTTTTCTTCTTTTCCCCCGCTCCACCACCCTTCTTCGCAAATTCCCTCCAACTTCCGATTCTCTCCTCTCTACTCTCTTCCCATTTAACCTCACTATCCCTCTTTCTCTTTCTCTCCTCCCTCTCCTCCTCCACTCTCTTCTGCTCCCTTCCCTCCTCCTGCATCTGCGCCTTCACCTGTCTCCTCCTCCTCTGCTCATTCTCAATCAACACAAATTTAGTCTTCTCTCTCCACTCCCTCCTAAATTCCTCACTCGGTTCTTTCACCTCCGCACTATCTCTATTCAATCCCTTTTCACGCATCACCAGCATTCGCGCATCGGCAATCGCTTCGTCTAATCTTTCTCGATGTTTCTCATCCATTAATTCTGTTTGTGCTTTTTTTAATCGATCGAATGCATCTGGAGCGAGAGGATTGCGCGTTTTATCTGGATGGATGAGGAGGGATTTTACACGGTAACATTTTTTTATATCTGATTCGCCGACACCGGGTTGGAGATCGAGGACTGCGTAGCTGTGTGATTTTTGTTAGTTTGATATATTTGAGTGCTTTGGACTTAGGTTCAATTCCGTCCATTTCCTTTCATTTGAGTAATTGTCAGGGGAAGAAGAAAAGACAAATACTTACGCATCTAAACGGAAAGCTTTTAATATCCTGTCGATTTCAGAGTCCTGTACGAAACACATCAAATCAGTATTCAATCATTTAGTCACTTATCTTCAACCACAATTCCAAAGCATCTCCAAAAATCATCCACCCATATACCTCCCTCCAGTCCTCTCTCTCCTCCCTCTTCCTACAAAATCAAACATACCTTCATAAACTCCTTCGCCTCACTCTCCAACCCCTCCAGCGCATCCAAATCATCCTGCGCATCTCCATCCGCATCTGCATCTTCCTTCTTCGCCACCACCTCCTCCTGCTTATCCACTCTCTTCCATTCCCCCTGCACGTCCCTCACCTCATCCTTCACCTCACCCCTCTCATCCCCCTCCCTCTTCACCCTCTTCGCATCCGGACTCGTCGCAGTCATTATCTATTTCGCGATTTCGATTTCGATTTCAATTTCGATTTCTCAGTATATAATTCCAACTCTCTCAAGTTAATATACCTCTTATCGAACGACTTTCGTCGCGCGTAAGATAGAAATTGGTGAAAAGGTGAAAAAGGTAAGGTAGTTGAGAAATTGATGAATGAGGTTGATAAGATTAAGAGATTGAGATAGCAGCTTTAGATTGTCGAGCTAGCGCTCGGACCAGGATTTAAGGATGCAGGCAAAGCGGGCCGGTTGACGCTATGTAGGTGTGTATTTTGGCATCGCTTACATAAGCTTTCGATGGTGTTCCCGGTGAGGAGGTTTGATGATTTGATTTAATCCCCCGTGAGTTGCTAATTTCGCCAGATTCCCATACAGATGATTACTATGTACACACATACCTAAAATCACTCAGAATGAATTGAACCATGAAACATGGAATAAACAGTATTTTCATTCTCATTCCCATACAAATATCCACAAGTCCTGATCTTGCTAAACGCCATACGTACATACATAAATACATCTAGACATTTAAGTGCACACTTGCATTTCCATGCTACCAATACCAATTCACAAGAATCCATTTGACCTATGTAAGAGGATTTTTCTCTCATTCCTCACATCATACCCATTAGTCGCCTTAATTATTGTGTCAATATCATACTATACCCCATCACAACTTATGATATGGATATGATATAGCATGATCAGAGCTCGTGTGAAACCCTCACAAGAAATAATCCGCCACCGGTTTTTTAGCCGGCATGCCCCTTGAATCCTGCGGCGCCGCGTGGAAAACCCTATATCTCCTTGCCGGTCCACTCAACGCTACTTTGTCTTTCAATAATGGCGCATTAGCACCATTACCTCTACTAACTTCTCCATTACTCCTTGCCATGATTCCATTTCCTGTTCCATCCTCTCCTAATTCCATAATCGCTGCTACATTTCCACATCTATAGCAGTAATTTGGCGCAGACCATACTGTAACAATACTATGATCGAAAGTCTCTTTGAACCCTTCCATTACTAGTTGATGGGCTCGAGCAATCATCGAGAGGTCGTTTGTATGGTTGAACATTTTGACGATATCGGCTCCGAATAGAAATCCTGCGCCACGGGGGGAGAGACCCCAACCATCAATCTCATCAGGATCGGACCAGAGGAGATCACACATGGCGCCTTCATGAGGGACTTCTTGTTTGCGATCCAAGAGACGGATTTTATCGACTGCTTGGATCAGAGGGGAGAGACCTCCATGGACACAGAAAACTGCGCCGGAGGGATTGCCTGAGCTGCCTCCACTATAACCTGAAGCTCCAGAGCCAGGTGCACCAAGACTAGTAGGGAATTTGCTTTGGGGGCTTGGAGAACCCTTGTCTGATGAACTCATTTCTGAATCTATAGATGGCTTTCTTTTCCCAATCTTGTCTCTGTTTCGTAGGAATTTGTTCATAATACTCCCATCAACATTTAGAATCTCGATTTCCACATCCTCGTCATTAAATTCTTGCGTCGAGGAGGCACTGTGTTCACCATTTGGCATAGATGTAGGTTGAAGACTGCTTGATGCTCCAAGGACAATTGCACCCAGAGCAAGATAATCGAATACTTCGCAACAATATCTCCATACATTTGCGCTTCCATACTTTCGCAAGCATTCGTCGTAAAATCCATAAACTGTGGTAATTTGTCTAGATTCGTGATTACCTCGGATTAAGGTCATTCGATCTGGATATCGTACTTTGAGACACAGTAGGAGGAGGAAAGATTCTAAGGAGTAAAAGCCTCGATCAACGAAATCACCTAAGCAAGTTAGTCAAGATCCGCCATACATGCCGTTTAAAAGGTCGTATCTTACCCATGAATAAGTAGTTTGTATCGGGGACATCACCACCAACCCTGAATAGTTCCATGAGATCATGAAATTGACCATGAATATCACCACATATCTGCATAAATTCGTCAATATCGACCCATCACTTGCGCAAAATCATGAAGCCGTACCGTAACTGGAGCTGTTACTGTGACCACATTCCCTTCCTCTATCAACAATTCTCTTGCTTTATGACACAATTCTCGAACTTCTGCTTCTGGGATGGGTCGACAAGCTCGCAATTGCGCAATGGCTCTGAAATTGAAGTCAGATTGAATTCTTCTGAAGGAAGTCGTAGAAGCTGTACCTATCCAGATCACTCATATTTCTTACTCAAATCTTTCAATCAATCAGGAACTTTCGGGGGCCAATGTAACAAGTAGAATCCGATTGGCTTCTACGGAGAATATGTAATGTAAATAGCTCCCAGATGTCGATGAGGCGCAATGTCAATCTATCGCCCGATTTGAATCTGCAACCCAGCTCATTCGAAAGAATCAAGATTCGAATCTGAAAATGTTCGAAGTCTTTCGTCGAACTCGTCTCTGAATACCGCGTGAATGTCAACGGCGCATCGAGGTTCTATGGGAGCGCAAACAAGATGGCGAAATATCCCATGTATCTCAAGGCTGGAGAAAACGACTATTCGGGAAGGAAAGACGAAACAAAATCCAGCTCAAACTGAAAATTCGCAAACAGACTATGTCGCTATTGTTGTAGAATTCATTAATGTCTTAATTATTACTGTTATCGAAATCGTCTGTTGAATTATAATTTTCCTCAGCCTCGAATATGCTCAGGTACTGACTGACAGGTCCGTACCTCAAGATGACGCTAATGTTTTTGAACGGAAGAACATTGAAGCCCAAATTAACAAAGTCTGGGGTGGCTTGGTGGGTGGGATCGTGGTGAATTTAGAGCCTCAGACCGAAATTATTAAATTACCCGATGAAATGCCACCATTTTTATGTTCAACTGCGGTACCCTACGTCAATTTAAAGACAAGACCCCTCGATACAGATACTTCAATTCCAATATGAGATAACAAGTAAGTAGTCTTTAGCACTTGATTGATTACCTTTGCTAATACAGATCACAGGCACAATTCATTCTTTAAACAAAGCTCACTACATTCCCTTACAACCAAAATTAAATAAAAAATTATGCCGCCTCATCTGCACCCCCGCTCAAAATTCACATCCTCCCTCTTCGCAGGCACACTCTTTGCTAGTTTCTTCGTCGTAGCACTACCGCACGTTCTCCCTTGTCCGGCACCGCGCGTCGTATATGCAGATGATGGGTCGGGATCACAGAGGCCGAGGAGGAGGAGGAGGAAATGTCCTGTTGATGAAGCGGGGGAACAGGGAAAAGAACAGGGACAGTTACAGTTGCAATTGAAGACTATGGGAGGAGATAGAGAGGGAAAGAGTGAATATAAGGATTTCAATGAGAAGATTCGGGAGGAAATGGGCGGTAGTATTGGGGAATCAGATGATGGAGAGGAAATAGAAGGAAGCAGAAAACTTGCTAAGCGCGAGTGTCCGGTGCCGAAACCTGGGGGCGTGTTAGGAGGAATGTTGGGTTTTAAGTCGACTATTGATGAGAAGGGCTCGAAACCACCGTGAAGATAAAATCAACTTCAGAGGGGTTTTGATATAGGATGGTGAAAGTTGGGTAAAGGCAGGATTGTATATATGGTGCGGTTGTACATATTGTGCTACTCTGCGTACTTTATGATCTGATATCGGGTTCATGAGTCCACATATTGTGGATCACAAATGAGATATTCGGATGCATGTGGAATTTTTGGATTCACAAGATCTCCACTCGGCATGCCGTCTAATGCGAGAGATGGAAGAAAGAACGTTTCACACTCTTGAAACGTTTAAATACAACGGCTCTCTACTCTTCACTTTGAATTCTTCTTGCAGTCTTTACTTCCAAAAATAAATCTGCAGAGCCCGAAGTGTATTCCAAATTTACAGAAGATCATTTCAAACGACTTACACATGTCTGCAATAAAGGTGTTTCTGTCAGACATTTGCCAATTATCCATCTGGAATTGTATTCTCTCTTACTCACAACTTCTCACTAGATCATCAACTGAAAATTGTTTTGAGGGAACGAGCCACTTATCTTGTACACGACCTCTCCTTTTGTAGTCCACTAAGCGAATACGAAATTGGAAACTCCATGCCAAAGATTTCCTCGAGAATTCAATTCCATCTTACATATTTGATCAACAGACTCAATACAAAACTCATGGCCCTAATAAGTGAAAAGTTTGATTGTCACCAACACAATTTCAAATCGCGAAGGGAAATCACATTAAAGCGGACAAATCCGCAACTAATTTACGTGGTTACTAATGCGCTGATTTCCAAGCACCATGCAGATTGGGTGGTTGGGAGTGAAAGTGAAATTCAGATTCTATACCCAACACAATCATCCTATTACTTTACAACGCCAATATACAGAGAAATCCACGCATATTATAATCCATAGACACCGATATCCTCAATACAACTCACAACTCACTCACCCATTTCGTTACCCCATCATACGGATTTACCTCCTGCTTTCTTGGTACCATGCCAAAGTCATCCGGATCCTTGAGGTGATCAGAATTCAGGATTTCGTCCCAATTGGGAGCAACTGGCATGTATGAAACAACTTCATTCCAACTGGCAAACTCGCCTTCTTTGGTTCCATCAAACCCAGAAACGTTAGCAAGTAAAGCTCTCCGGTAGTCATCTTTGGCTTTCTGGGCATCTACAGACATGACATAATACGGCCCCTTGTGCTTGTTCAGCTTCGCGAGGTAAGCATCCGCATCAGCGACTCCGTGTATGTTCTTGAACCACTCGTCAATGGTGATTCCCATTACTTTAGCTGCTGTACTGGCTGACTCGAGAGTTTCCTTGTCTCTCTTGCTGTCGGATGCCTTGTGAACCCAAGTGTTATAGTCCGTGGGATCAAATCCAGGGGTCGCGGTTTTTTGGATAAGGTCATCTAAGCTGAGACCGTTGGATTGAGCCCAGCTCAACATAGACAGCTGCTTTGCCATTTCAAGTTGCTGTTCTTCCAGCTCCTTTTCTCCTTTTGCCGACGCTGCTTCGGCCTTCACAACATCACCAGGTTGAATCCCGTCTTTGACAGCTACAGCGTGTTGTTTGTCCTTTTTCACTTGTTTCTCTCTTTTGACTTGTACTTCTCGGCCAATTTCAAATAGATTTTCAAATCCCTTGCATCTTTCTCTTCCTTCGCTTTGATGATTAATCGTCTCTCTTGTTCTTTCCGATCTGCATCTGTCATGGATGTAAATCCGAGCGCACCTCGTTTCCGTTTTTCCGCGATACGTTTTCGTTTCAATCTTTCAGATGCATTTTGGTTATTCAAGGCTGATGATTCCTGAACTTCTTCATCCAAACGATGTTCCTCCCTGTGTCTCACTATTGCTTCTAGTGCCCACCTGTTTGCAGGTAATGTCAAGATTTTTGAAGGAGCGAGACCCGCAATGGGGTCTTTGATGGGCGGAATTGGGATTTCGTGCGCGTCCTTCCTCTGTTCATTGAAGAACACTCTCAGACGCTCCAATTCCCGAACTCTTTGTAGGGCTTCTCTTGCTTGTGCCTCAGCTTCGGCGTTAGATGCTGGCTTCCACAAATCAAATTTCGTTGGTTTTGAACCAGGTGTGGGCTCTTGAATTTCTCTGACTCCCTTGTTTATTTCATCAACCAATTCCTGTACACCCATCTCAAGCTTCTCCCCTTCTCGCTTTTCAATTTCCCCTATCTTCTCTTTTTCTCTTTCTTCTATGTTTTGTCGGAATCGTTTGGCATCGGGTGGGAAATAACCATCATTGTCAGCCTGTCGTTTCAAACTCTTGGCTTGATACGCAGTTTGCTCCTCTTCAATTTCATCAAGGAATCGTTCATGGAATATTTCAGAAGATTGCGATTGTACCTTTCGGCATTATCTCTATGACCTGCCCACCATTGATCTCTCTGTTCGTCAGTGGGTCCAATTGAAGCGTCTCCATAGCCGGGAGGGAGCCCTCCCCATGCTGTATCGCTGGTTGGCCTCAACCATATCTGACCTAAGCCATGAATGGGCGAGAAACGTCTCTTGAAAATGAAGCTGTGCAGCTACCCATTTAAGCTCAGCTTCTGGGCTCTCGAATGGCAAAGGTCCAGGCGCTCCCCAATCCTCATTCTCTTCAGATTGAGCATAGTGATCCAGAATACCGCGGTGCGACAAGAGTTTGACAGCGCGGGGATCCGGTATAGTTGTGTTTCTTGCTGGTTTTGCGTTTTTCCATCTTATCCACTTGGGATCTTGCTCTCCTTCGCCTTCATCGTCTTCCATGATTTTGCCCACAATTGCATTCTGCCAGTAGTATCCGGCGGCAACGCCAAAGTATTCGTCTCTTAATGTTTTTCTCAATGAGCTCCATTGTCGAGACCAATCTTTTGTGCTAGCATCAGCCGGCTGTAAGTAGAACCGACCGCCAACACCATGCCAAAAAGATACTCCGCCACCCTCACTCTGTATGATAGCAAATTCTGGCAATGGGCCTGCAATTTCGCCTTTGCAAACCGCGATTCCATTGATTGTTAGAAGTCTCCCGTCCAGATTGGCCACAAAGTATCTGTGCTTCAAATCAGAATCTTTGTCAATTTCAACATTCCAAAGCTTGACATCTTTGGGTAGAAAAGATTGTGTTTCGTCGCATTTTGGAAAGTAATTTCGAGGTGGCATATCTCGATAATACTTTTGCTCGGGTGCAAACCCACCAAGGATCATCAAATCTCATGGGTCTGTATTCCTTCTCTTTCATTTTGAAGGATGGCTCGATAATGTTGTCCTGGTCTCGAGGGTCAGGTGTCTTTGGACGCTCTTCGCCGGGATTGACCGGAGATGAAATTGCCTCGCATCGCCGAATATCCAAGGGAAATACGTCTGGATTTTGGTAGCTGTTGTTATTCTCAAAGGATTCTCTGTGATGGCGATCCTCAATTTTGTCTAGAGTTTGTTGATATATGTTTTTGGTTGGGATGTTGAAGATGGTGCCAGTTACTTTATCCCAAAACTTTTTCATCTTCAAAAGTGATCCGTGATCTTTGGTTTTGGGCATATAGGGTACATTAGGGTGGTCATCATCGGGCACTTTGACTCTGCTCTGTGCGTATCTACAGAGAGGGCGGAGAAGCTATGATTGATCTTGTCAGTGGGATACTTTTCAAAGGAGAGAGAAAATCATACAGGATAAGGACTTCTTCCGCAATCCACACCACCATCAATCTCAAACTGAGAATTTCTCAAGAAAGCATCCGGTTCCTCATCCATATCAATTTTAACATGTTGTTCGCCCGACTTGCCTTGGTCGCCAAACACTGTTCTCAATGGGATCGTAATATTCTTGAAAAGTCGCATCGTCTTCATCTGGGACAGCGTACTCGATGAAATCCTTCATAGCAAAAAACCCTCCGCTAGAACCATCATCTTCGATTGGAAATGGCCTTGTAAGGTCATTAGGGTTAAAGTTTTCGTCATCCTCCTCATCACCATCGTCAGGCTCACGATCAATCGCCGTCGCGGGTGTATTGCTCTCAGGTTTTCCCGGACGTGCTTTATCAATATAATCATTCGGATCAGGCCTTTCCATAATCGTCGGATCCAATTCGCCTCCGTACGCTTGCATAGTGACATTGTAATGGGCTTCCTGCCAGGAGAGCTCAATATATCCCACGCCCAGTTTCTTATTTGCCTCCATGCGATTCTTGAATTCATCAACGACAGCTGGACTCGTCCTTTTGGTTGCAAATTCGATATATTTTTCCTCGAGACTTTCAGCTGGTCGATACGTTTCACTCCAATTGGGCCGTTGAGTTAATTTACACCGACGTACTTCGGGTAATTCTTCCCACTTGGCGAGAGCAACAGCGTACTCGATAGAACCCGGTTGAGCTTCAGGTTTCGGATCTTGCTTCCAAAACTCCGAGCCGAGGAGTTCCTCGACCCGTTCCTGCAAACTCAATGGTAGTTCATTGCGAACGTATTCCATGGTCAGAGGAAGATACTCCGGCGCCCATTGTTTGTAATCCTTGAAATCTTCCCATTTAGGCATCTCCCAATTGCGTTGCTGCCATTCGGCCATCGCTTCAGAAAACTCTATGTACCCATCTCCCAAATTCCGATTCTGCCTAAATAACGCCTTGAGATTCTCAATGGCACGTTCTTTCCATTCTCTCCTCCCCTGCGCGATCTCAGAGATACTCGTCTCGAATTGTTTCGAGCGCTTTCGCTTCCGTCCGGTACGGTTTCCCTATCTTCACCTTTTTTCTTGAATGCTGTCTCCTCCCTGCTGGCCCCTCAAACGGAAGCTTCCCCTTATTTTTCTGCTGCTTGATATACGCTTCCCATTCTGCATAGGCGCGCGCAACCCACACTTCATTCACCCGTCCTTCCATGTAGTGATTATTCCAAATATCCCACGCCCGTTTCCAGGATTTCCACACCTCGTGTCTGTCCCCGGAATAATCAAGCGTATATGGCGATTTGTATTTTCCCGATCCGAGAAGAAAATCCCGGACGTCTTTTATGACAGAGGGGTGAAGATTTTCGGCTAGGGGGGATGGAATACGTGCTGTGGGGATGGGAGAGATGAGGGGGATTTGGTGACGGTTTTCGCGCATGCGGTGCAGGACGGCAGGGGAGGAGAGAAAGGGAGTGAAATCATAGGTTGTGTATTTGTTTTGGGCGACGGTGAGGATGGGTTTGTTGCGTGGGTCGATGACAGCGTTTGGGTCGGACGCGGGCTCGGAGGGTGGAGGAGTGGGGAGTGCGCGAGAGGGGTTGGGTGGAGGCCATGATGATTGCTGGTGGATTGTGGAGAGGTGATGTGATGTGAGGTTATTGTAGGGATTGTATGATTACAGATACCTAGTGAAAGTGCGAGATGAGATGAGAAGATGTGATCGACGAGTACTCGATTGCGAGGAAGATTAGCATGCAAGATCGGTATGTGTTGATAGCGTCGACTTCGAACAAGACGCAATTCATGCAGCATACACGAGGATTCACGGGATCAACAAGGTTAGAGAAGGAGACACAAGGTGAGGGTTGAGATGAAAGAAGCTTTGAAGGAAGTTTGACGCAAAGGAAATTTTTGAGACATTTTCTTTGCTGAACTGCTCCATTCTTTGCCCATTGATCATAATTCCGTATCCGTCAATAGAGAGGGCTGGAATTGTTTGATGCTTTAGCTATACTTGGACGGAAAGGGGTTAGTGTTGGGAGTGAGGAATGCTGGGGTCGAGGGGGGGGCAGCGAGTGGTGAAGTACCGTATTGGAGTAGATTGGAGTACAAAGGGGAGGTTTATGATCAAAGGGAATTTGAGGGGATAGAAATTGGGGATTATGAGAGATGTGAATGTATGCATGTGTGTGGAATTTCGGGAATTCTGATACTCTTTGGGTAATTGATTTTGGACGTTCTAGACGCCGTTTTGAGATTCAACCTCGAATGGCAGGGTTACACCAAAAAAATCAAGCTGGGTCACTAAACCTGCCATTCGAGTAATAGTAAGTAAGGACTACCTAGGTATTCACTCATTAACAGATACCCAATCAAACGGAAAAATAAAACACTTTTTTGAATTATTCCAATCGCTGTCCTTGCTTGAATTATGTAGAAAGTGAGGGGTATCTGAACACATAAAAATTACGTTAAATTTTGATTTCGCTCCGTCCTGCAATTGTCATAAGCCTACACCATTTTCTGTATATCGGTCCATTACATGGAAGACCAACTGGTTGTCCACATTACAATCCATACCGGGCCCGCAGCCCAATTCTGCGCGAACTACGGCGGGGTCGCCGCCGGCCATGGTCGTTATCATATCGGTTGCAAATACGCAACTATTCAGGTTAGTTCCGTTATTCTCGGAAGGTATATTCGTATTGTATGTTGATGATATTGGAGGTGACATTTGATGAGATGAGACTGATGAACGAGAATTGGGATTCGAATTCGTGTGGGATTGTAAGTGGGAATGCATTTGAGGGGTCTGTGGGGAAAGTGTATTGTAGGATTGATTTGATATATATTGCGGTTCGAATTCGTAGATTTGGGGAGATTGGATGGAGAGACTCGATAGTGTATTCTGTTGTTGTGAGTTTGGCAATGTTATTGGTGTCATATTGTATCTTTGTTGCTGTTGCTGTCGTGTGTGGACAGTTCCAGCCGTGCTAGGATTTTGGCTGATACTGCTATGCCGACTTGCCGCGCTACTTCTTCTTGGACTCATAAATTGTTGCGCCTGTGAAAATCCTTTGCCGCTCGATGTTGGTGTCTGTCCCACGCTCATACTCCGTGAGGGCTGCACTGGATCCCATATCGAATGGACAGTATTCCCACTATAAGAACTCTCTCGACTTTGAATCGCCTGCCCCATCGTTGTGGTACTCGTTAGGCCTATACTTCCATCCGCACAACATAGTTTCCTCGCCTGAAGTAATTGTTCTAACTGTTGTACCGAAGGGCTTTCACTCCCATATTGCGCCGGTATCATTACATCTTCAGAACTCATTTGTAAATACGTTTCCACCATTTCATTTCCTACCCCATGTTGTGCCAGCAGACTTCGTAATTTCTTATTCTCATCTGCTACTCTCCTTGCTGCCAGCTGAATTTCCGAAGATGCTTCAATACCTTGGAGCTCACATTGGCGCAATCGTGCCTCGAGCTCTTGAAGGTACTCTTTTCTTCGAGCGCGGGATCGTCTTTGATTATCTCGTATGCGCGCAAGGTTTGCCTTTTCCTAGAATATAGAATTAGACTTCAGACCGATCAATGTACAAATTATTGAAGATGTGTTGAGAGCTTGTCTAGAAAGGGCGTGTGGTGCATGTGCATATGTCAAATGTCAATTGAGCTTGATAATATCTTGGCAGTTGATCTGTCTCCGCGATCTCCAACTAAAGAAAGACGACTTCCAAAGGATGAAGCATTGTTTACTCACCGCAGCCGTCGACATGATGGAGAATGGAATGATCAAAATCTTGGAATATTTTACTCATTCCAAGTAATGCGCAATTGATTTGATTGAGATGATTGTGAACTATCAATAGCCGCATCCCCTGTTTAGCGCGGCTTGGATTTGAATGTTCCCAATTTTTTCACACGCGTAAGCTCTCCTTTGGCATGGATCTGAAACGGGCGAGTGTAAAGTTATAGGTGGATGGAGGATAGAGATTGGTTCGGCAGTTGCGATTATATATAGCTATGCAGTAGTATATGGAGAATTGAATGCAATATCTGACCCCTATCATACCACCCTATGTTCCTCGATCTTGTTGTTTAGTATGGCCTTTGTAGAGTGAACATCTTTTCTCTAGCTCGTAGCTATCGTCCGCCTAAAAGCGTGGCAGTGCTGTGAGTGCAGTGCAGTGCGCGAAGATGTTGTTGGGAAGAGACTGCTAAGTGGCGGCAGAGAGTTTGTTTTAAATAGCAATCTTCACTCCGTCTCCATGGTAGCAGGTATCTGGCATCTGGCATATGGCATGTACAAGAAATGGTGTTGGTGGCATTGGTATTACTTCATGAAACCCCTTCCAGAGAAGAACACCTACCTACCTAGTACGAAGTATACTTTGGTGAATTTGTGCTCATTGGTCAATCATGGAAATGGCTGTGTATAACCAGAGGCTTGAAAGGCATACGTCCCTAGTCCCGGGGTCAGCAAAGCAGAGCAGAGCAGAGCTAAGCAAAGCTAAGCAAAGCAAGGTGAACAAGGTCAACAAAGCGAACAAGGGAGTGGTGGCATAAAGCATATAAGACGCATCAATCATCAATCACAATCAAAGAAGCCTCGAACGGTCTCCGGGATTTATCCATCAGAACCTTGGAACCTTATTTCTTCAATCCATCGAGCGGAGTTTATTTACCCGGTCGGCATCTTTGTACCAAATTACCGAATTGAGCGAATACCTGGGTGCTCAGGTAGGTACAGGAGTAGAATCAGTAGATATCACACCCATGGCCGGTTCAAGACAAATATATACATTCCCACCTGCCTACTTGGTAAATACCTTGGACAGTCAGTCCTGCACGCTTGGCAAGTTGGAAGAACCAAAAGTTGATCCCCACCCTTTTCTTATACAAGCATGTATGGATCATGATATTGCCAGCCCGGCAGATTGGCCTAGGTCTTTGATTGAGATACCTACCTGCAAACTCAAGACTGGTTAAACAAACTTCGGGAGTTTTGATACCGGTAACCTCAACATTTACCTTGCAAACCCCGATGTCGAACTAGAAATCAGATGATTGATTTCTTTTCTACTCTCCTACTCTTCTAGTTTTCTTTTAAAAGCTTGGAGTTAAGCTTCTTACAGCTGTTCGGGATTCTCTAGTCCTTTGAATGTGTGGCCCGGATCAACGGAATCGATCCCATTTTCTCGAGATGTGCCGCACTCATTCCTACCCGTCAAAAATCGTCCGAAACATTTGATTCACTGTGTAACCTTTAAATCGACATCGACGATCATGTCACATTTTACAATCTGGGGTTCAAGATCTCCAAGTGGAGAGATCACAGAACTTGAAGTGATAGGATCTGTTGGTTTGCCGACCCTCGGGTCAATGCAATATATTGTTACTATAATCTATCCGTGTCACACAACACTACACATTGGGGTCTGGAGAAAAGAAAAGAAAGACTCTGTGCTGAAATCGTATCCCGTCTTATATTCGTACCTAGTCTATTGCAATTTCCCCTCTACCTCACCAAGATATCAATGTTTGTTTGACAAGGGGCAACTTTATTTTACTAGTGAACCTGTGAGCACAGATTCAGATCGCTACATCGAGCATTTCTCCAATCGTATGCATATCAAGCCTGTTGATATTATGTCCTTGAATGCGAATCTTTATTTACATACGAAGAAACTATCACAGCACCAGTCGTCCATTCTCCGATCCGGAAATTGCTAAGAACGTATGCAGAGTATAAACCAAAAGTCTGGCAAAAGTTTGATTGAGTGTCAGTGGCTATGTATTTACACGTGGGAATTTATGATTTAGTTGACTCAATTGTCATTGACAGCACACATAATGCATATATATATATATACTAGTATCCCCTAGACTGCCAACTCATAATGCCCGGATAATCCGTGTAATATACCCTATATAAAGAAGTCTGATCGATTAAATTAAGGTTTTAATGCCTTTTCAGTTACTCTATTTATAAAATAAGATTTTGATTTTAAATTTTGATTTTTTTTAAAATCATAAAAGTAAGAAAGATTAAAAGTTGATAAATATTATTAAATTTAAAATTTGGAAATAAAAATATTATAAAATATATTTTATATTAAAAATTGAATATAAATATTTAGTTAAGTTTTAATAATCCTAATGATCTAGTTGATCAATAAGTTTCTGTTAAACGAAAGCGCCTTTAGTTGACAGTTTAGGGGATAGTGAGTGGAACATTCTCCGTGAGTACCGGGCTACTATCGTTCGTCCTTCGCTGGACGCACTTTATGCGCCGCATTCCCGTTCATCTAAAAACTGAGTATCGGAGAATTCCATTATATCATCGAATTGTGGTTGTAATTCTTGAGAATATCATCAGTTATGCGGGCTGTGCGGAGAAAATGTGGTTGGAATCTGAACATCTGGGTAGAACACACAACTCCCACTCCCTTTTCGAACACAAACACGGTTTCGTTCATCGAAATTGTGAACAACGCCTCCTGGTATATAGATGAAAAATATTCTATCTCTCTCGTTAGAATTAAGTCAAGATGTGAATCCACACATAGAGGTGATTCTAAGAGGTAGGTTGAGGAAAATGGAATTCCAAGCTATAGAGTACTGAGGTAGAAAGAGTATCTACGACTCATCAATATATACCGTTCTTAATGAGAGCATGAAAAGCATTCCCATTCTCATTTGATACTGCAATTCTGTTTATTCATTGTCGATTCTCAATGTTGTTACCGGCGTCAGAGTCACAAGATAGGGAACTGCCTTTCATCCTCAACATCGTCGTATATCTTTACACAATTACGAGGCTTGGGAATAGTCATAGTTGATTCAGTGTGTTATCAGCATGAGTTGAAGCGAGTTGCCCCTAGCACGCCAAGTGGTAGGTTGATATCCTCTTCATTGTCCTATCTTGGTTAAATATAATCAAAGGGCACGCGTAGATTATTGGCTTGGAAATCGCGTTTATGTGAAGAGAGTCAGCGATTTTTAACAAGTTATTGCATGTTCGAAATTTGCAGGGGTTTACAATTGCTATAATATATGAACCTCATTGAGCTTACCATTACTGCTGTAATCGAAGATAGCGTAAGGTTATACGGCACCAAGAAGCTAGTTTCCAGCAGAGAGAGATATCGCCGAGAGCTAATTTCAAATTCTCGGACATTTATTTTGATTCTCGTTGCCATCTAGCCACGTTTGATTCGAAAGAAGAAAAACATACACTGTTTCGACAAGAACGAAAACTGGTATATAGAATTGACAGCTAGAGTTGAGCTCGTATCTTCAGCAAATTCCCTATGGCTCAAGCTAGGTAACGGGTGTTTGAAGTCTATAAATCATCTAGGATTTGCACGAGATTACTCAATCCTACTTGATGTTGGTGTTCTAGTTTAATCGTATATTTCGGGTATCAGAACGCGCGGTTTAGTACTTCAAGCTGAAGATGGGGAAATGCAGTGACTTGAGAGTGTTTTGAAACAAAAGAGGGGTCTATGTCTTTGAGTTGTCTTCTTGCAGAGTGTGTATGTGTTCCTAGTATGCAAAGATCTTATCTATAGGTACTAGATAACGGCTCGTTAGATACTACGAGTATACTCCAGTCTTCGATTTGTAACTCTGCTATCGCCCACTGCTATGCTGTAGGGTGCTGGCTGATCCCACCAGCTATAGAACGAATAGTAAGTGATAATCTGATGCCAATTCACAGGTAGATAGATTATCATGTAATGAAGAGTTGTAATTTATCTATCTATACTTTATCACCATATCTTGTTCTTGACTGTCGATTATCTTCTTGCCGCTCATACACTAAGAGACAACATCACGATTCCGGCAACGACAACTAGATAACGATGAACAATCACTCGCCTCCAAGAAGTCACACCTCAGAGTGACATTCTCGAGTGATGAAGTATATCTAGGCTATTGTCAAGACAATTTTAGCCTTCATAGCATCATCAAACCGTTATGTATCGAGGGCGCATCGGACTCTCAATCGCTCCTGCGCAACTCAGCAATCTCCTTTTCAAGTGCAGTGTAATATAAGACATCTAAAGTCTGGATGAGGTTGTTTAAATACTATGGTATTGCTTGGTGATTGATTTAGAAGTCGGTTATCGATGGCTTAGCCGTCGGGTCTTCATGGATGGTGGTTGCTCTTCTTCTCCCCTCTATATTTAAACGCACTCGTATCTCAAAATCGAGGAATTTCAAACACGTATATCTACAACGCGGATATTTTAGTACTATCGTCCATTTAAACTCTAGAGATATCCTTCCGATGTGATTCTGTGGTGGAGAGAAATAGAAGATTGGGCATCGCTGGAATGGATGCTGTGAGGGATTTGATGGAGCGCATGGTTTGATGTTTCTTGATGCGAGGGAATTGGTATGTTTCTTTTTGTTTTTGATTTCTCTTCATAAATGTGGAATCTGAGGAGTTCATAGTATATTGCTGCTAGAGTTTGTTATTTCGCTTGTCTATTTGGGTGTTTACTGTCGGATACTTAATGAGTATTACTGTCGCTCGTTGTGTCGAACAAGTCAGGTTAGCTTGGTATAAGTTAGGTATTTGCGTTGATATAGTCTCTCTTATCATCATTGTTTTGCTCAATGATAATTGACTGCGTCGATGATATGTAACTTGACAATCATCACAGTAGTCGGGTAGGTTTGAGAGGGAGTTGAGAGGAATATGAATGATTTCACTATTCTTTTGAGACTGAACCGAGCAGGAACAAATGTAATGACCCTCATAAGCGAATCTCTTGCTCCCATCATCTGATTATTGGCATTGCTAGCCCTCAAATTCCTGCTGCGTGTTTCCCAATTTCAAGGATTGTATATCGGGAAGTGTGGTTTATTAGAGACGAAGAAAGGTAGATTGAAGCTCTGGTAGATACAACGTCAGTGATCAATCCAACTTCTTGATAACAAATTCCCCACTCAACGGTAAATAGTTTTCATGAAGCAGAAATAATATTCTGGATTACAAATGTGCGGACTTTTAGGTGATTACTTTCTCGTCGTTTCTACTCATGAGTCGGTTTTAGGATTTTGTTTACAGCCATAGCCTTTACTTCCTTTAGAGGGTATAATGATTAGGACAGTATCTGTTTCCTTTATCCCGGTCTTTCCTAATTCACTCTCACTACAAATTTTCCCCCTAGTAATTGGCTATCAATATCTATCAATATCTATCGATCCGTAATAAACATTATCAAAAGTTCTATCCAACGCTCATGTATCTACTTTTATTAACGTAACTTGACTAGAAGTGGGTCATGTCA